TCTGACCATTGTATCTCGAGTTCATTAAATATTAACGAGAGTCTCAATTTCTTCATTTCGTTGATGAGTCGCCGCGCGCCATCCTAAACCCGCATATAGATTGAAAATTAACTTATATGAGCGCCGACAAAATATACGGCATGCGGCCCTGAACATACACTGGTGCACTTATACGACTCGCGCGTAGCCTACAATTTACACGGCGGGCCCAATATGTGGGCATAAGCTCTGAGTGAATGACTTACCTTCCTATATATATATATATGACCGCAGTGTTTAACTTCCAAAAGTCCTCTAATATCTAATTTGATGCTAATTACAAACACCAACACTTATATACATCTTTTTTTTTGTTGTTTTCTTTTAATTTATGTATTTTAAGTCGTGGAAGATTAAAAAACAGTTACATACACCCCGAAGTAATAATCTTCAAGCAAATCTTATCAATTTTTAAAAATATTTCCACGTGAAAAACTTCCCGTGAGTTAACCACTGGAAACTCTTGTGAAAATTCCTATTGGAAATTTCGACAAAAAAATTTTGACTTATAAGAAAACTTTATTACTTAAATAAGTCGTTTTATTTGTACTCTCTAAATTTGAATCAGCGGAATCTCGCTGATTCTCAGCTATAAGTATACCACTGATTCTAATCAGCTTATATGCACTGATGAATAAGTGGAATTTTACTGATTTTTCAGCGTATATCCGCTGATTGGTACCAGTGGTATACTTATCGCTGATTCAAATTTAGAGAGTAATATTTATGAAAGTAAACATAGAAAAATTTTAGGTTACACTGAGAGAAAAAATTGGTTGGGGTTATCATTTTTGAGGTGACCATTTTTAATTAGTTGGTTTAACTAATTAGTTTGTTGGAATAACTATTTAATTAGTTAACTTACTAACTAAATGGTAACAGTAACTAATATAAATAAGCAAAAATCAAAAATTAGCCTAATCATTTCTTTAACCTAACTTAACCTAACCGTTAACGGTTCCTAATCTAAAATTTTTCTCTAATTCCAATAGGAATTTCCACAAGAACTTCCAGTGGTCAATTCCCGGGAGCTTTTTCACGTCGGTGAAAAACAGTTTTGAAAAACTGAAAATCGTATTTGCAATCATTGACCTCAGAAACCCTCCCACACGCAAAAAAATCTTCACCTAGATCAGCGATATGTTTCACTAAAACAGCGAAAGTTTTAAATATATCGATTAATTTCTGAAAATCCATCCGACATTTTGAATTTTGAAAAACTGATATCGGATTCTTAATCAGCGTAATTTTTTCTATCACACACGCATAGAAAAAATTTGCTGTGTCAGCGAATTATTTGCTGCCACATCAAATTACGTTAGCTAATATAGGGACAGTGAACAAATTTACTGTGGGGTCAAAAAAAGTTTGCTGTGGGAGTAAATTTTTAATAATCAAAACTATCATAGCAAACTTTTTCGTTGTCATAGCCTGGCCACCAGGTGACTCACTTTTTGCTTCTGAATTAGTAAAATGTTACTAATTATTAGTAACTTTTACTAACAATTAGTAAAATTTAACTAACTCTAAAGAAAAAAGTGAGTCACTAATTTAAATTAGTAAACATTTTTACTAATTTAGATGTAGAGAGTATTTGAAATTTATACTTTATTTAAATTTTAGTAAATTTTAACATGAAAATTAGTAAGTAAATTAGTAAATCTCTTCAAACAATTATGAAAGAATACTATGAATCCTTTTAAAAGGTAGTAAATCGCAATAAAAAAAATTACTAATGGCGCAGTACTGGCACCCACTATTGGCGTCAGAGTTGGCGTAACTTTGTGATGATAACATTTTACCAGTATTGGCTGCCAGATTTGGCACCAGTACTGGTAACCACTACTGGTTCAGTACTGGCTGAGTACTTGCAGTTTGGTAATTTATTGTATACAAAAAGAAAGCTTTAACTGTAACAGAGATAAGTTTAACTGCAATAGTGAAACTTATCTCTGCTTCAGGTAATACTTTTTTGGTATAATTGGGAAAAAGTGTCTGAAATTTTCAGTAACCCAACACAAATTAAATATTAATTAAATTTGTCAACTAAATAATTAATATTTTATTATATAAAATTGAAAACACAAAGAATTTTTATTCTTTAATATAATATATATTGCAAATTATTATTTTAAAACCAGTACTGAGCCGATATTGAGCCAGTACTGGCTCAAATAGATTTTCTTTTTGATTAATACTATAGTATACAAAAAGTTCTAGAGGGAACCCGATGAATCCTTTTGTTTAAATATTTTGTTCATCAAAATTTTTTCAACTTGATTTTATGTTTCAAAATTAAAGTGTACTTTATTTTGCTTTTCTGTGGGTAAAATTATTTAAACAAAAAGTTTCCTGAGACCAAGTCTAAAACATTTTGCAAGATTTTCTTTTTGTTTTCACATATGTAATAAACCAAAAAAAATTTTAAACGATCAAACTAAAAATAAATGAATTTGTTTATAAAAAATTAATATTTTTTAAAATAAAATTTATAAAATAAATTTAACTTAAAAAATTAAATACAATCGCAAGTAAAATTGCACAAATGTTATATTATTAATAGTATAAAATATATAATTAACCTTCCTTAATAGAAATTATAAAAAATAGTTAAACCTACAAACTTATATATTTCAATGGTCAATAAAATTATTGTAATTTGTTTCTGGATGTTATTCTAGAGTTTTTTTCCAAAAGTGAATTATAAACAAAAATTTAATGTTAATTTAAAAATAATTTAGATAATTTTTTTAATAATTACCTAATATCAGAAATTTAGTATTCATTATTTATTAAATCATTATATTTGTGATGAGTTAATTTGTAAACTAATTTTGTTTTATGTAAATTGAATTGAATTCAATGTTAATTTATTTATATTTGATATAATAATTAATAAATTAAAGTGAATAATAAAATAATTTAATAGTTAATTGCATAATCATATACATTATAATTATTTTATAAACATTTTTATTTTTATTGAACTGTTTTTATATACCTATTATAAAAAATTTGGTTTTTTAATAAACATATTTTTATATTTATTTTTTGATTTTTTAAAATAATAATTTGCAATATATATTATGAGAAGAAATTAAAATTCTTTCTGTTTTCGATTTTATAGAACAAAATATTAATTAGTTAGTTGACTAATTTAATTAATATTTAATTTGTCTTGGGTTACTAAAAATTTCAGACACTTTTTCCTAAGTATACCAAAAAAGTATTACCTGGAATGAAACTTATCTCTGTTACAGTTAAAGCTTTCTTTTCGTATACAATAAATTACAAAACTGCCAGTACTCGGCCAGTACTGAACCAATACTGGTGCCAACTCTGGTAGCCAATACTGGTAAAATGTTATCATCCCAAAGTTACGCCAACTCTGGCGCCAATACTGGGTGCCAGTACTGCGCCATTACTTGTCAGTATTGCGCCATTAGTAAATTTTTGATTGGGAATCTAGTAAAATTCTACTAGTTCTGCAGTCAAATTTGACGAATTTCTTAATAAAATTGCCAATAGTAATGGTTGTCATTGAAACGGTTGCTATGGAAACGCTTGCTATGGTAATGTTACCATAACAACCATACGAGTGTACGACGGACGGACGGACGGACGCCAAAGCGAAACTATAAGACTTTTGGGCATGAGCCACGAAACCCTAAAAACGCCTTTTCGCACTATTGATTACACAGAAAATTAAAAGGCATTAAAATAAGCTGCAACGCTTATTATTTTAATCCAATTTTGTTTATTTTAATACCAAAATGGATTAAAATAAGAAAAATTGGATTAAAATAATAAGCGTTGCAGCTTATTTTAATGCCTTTTAATTTTCTGTGTAGAATTTGAAAACTGAAAAGCAGTTTAAAATTTATAATTACAAAAATTCACTATATTTAAAAAAGTTGTTTAAATAGTTTTTACTTTTTTAATTAACATCAAACGATGTTTTGCATGATAATTAAAAATGCTAGTGACCTTTGAAATTTGAATATAAATAAATGGAGAAAAAAAAGTTGAAATTGGTTCTCTATTGAAGTTTGTTTTCTATTTTTTTCTTTTTTTTTGTACAATCAACGGGGAATCGAATATTAATTTTAAAATCCAATAAATTATAAACTCATAACTTCCAAACTAAAAAAGAGACTATGAGAGGTCAAACTTTTAAATGTCATGGCAAAATCGTAAATTCTATCACTCCATAAATCGATAATGGAAGCGGGTCAATGAATTTAATTCAGAGTTTTTTTATATATATAACTATTTATTAAGCGATAATAATAGCGTAACACATTGATATATTCATACTATTTTACATGACTGATTCATTCTTCATAATGTTGACATACATTTATAGTTTCTATGTATATATTCCACAAATTTATTTTTCTTTTTAACAATCTCACAGACCGAATAATTGTAAAATAATTATAGCTTTTAAACTTGAGAAAATTATAATTACCAAGATTTTGTTTTTTTTTTAAACCTGTAATTATTTTATTCCACACTTTTCAGATTTAATATTAATAATAATAATTGGAGAATTAAAAATTTTAATTTCTTTTAAATAAAATATTAACGAAATTGATACTTTAATCTTCAGTGCAATTAACATATTAATGAATTTGTCCTTCAATATAGAAAATGAATCATTTGGCACGGGAAAAGATTAAAGAAAATCATTAAATAGCAATATGGAATTGGAAGATTCTGTTTTTTTTAAATACTTTAGCTAAAACACTCAATCCTTATTGATTTATTCATTCGTATTTTACGCTTTTATAAAATTAATTTCCAGTCTTAATTTAAATTCCAACTAATTGTTAAAGATCCGTAAATAATTACACAACTGAAAATATCGTTGACTCAATTTATTATTCGAAAACTTAATCTTAAATATTTACCAAAGAAAGATATTTATATATATATTTTTTGTTTTTTCATAAATATTAATATTATTATTTACATAAATATTATAGAAAAATCTTGTAATTAATATATTATATATTAGATATTATTATAGTAAAAATTCTAGAAAGGAAATTTACATGAAACATTTGGTGAAAATATACAATGAGAAAACTTAATTTATATTATAATATTTTATATATTTATAAATCACAGAAAAGGGGTGAAAGGGATTTTAAAAAAATATTTTATCCTCAAAGTTTCTCCGAAGAGATGGAGATTAATGAGTTAATTGCTTTCGTGTTTGCAAAAAGAAGATTTTATCGATTGATGCAAGGAGTTTTTTGCAGCAACCATCTGTGCACTTAAGATTGTTAATCTTCAACGTGTTAGTATCAATTAGTCGTCTTTATTGTTAGTTACTCGCCCACGTATCTACAAAACGAGTAAAAGTGGAATAAGACCTTTTGTATTCTTGTTTCAATATTTTACATTTTTTTTTTTCCATCAAAATATGAGTAAAACTCGAGAATTTAAGTAGAATATTTTTTTTGTCTTTTTCGAAATTTTTAAAAGAAAATTTTTTTAAAAATAAAAATATATTTTGTTAATATTTAATTTAAAAAAATTTAATTAATAGGTAGCAGTTAATTATATAGGAATTCGAAAACTGGACTGTATTATTTGAATAAAAATTAAACACTATTAATGATTCAAATATTTAAAATTAATTTTTGTTTTTTACTATTTTAATTATATATTAATTTTTAATATTTAATTCTATTAACAAGTGACTCGGGTCTTTTTCCTCTTTCTCGTAGTTTATGAAAACTATTGTCTAAAACTTTGGTAATTCGGATATGCTTGGAACTATTATTTATTATCACTGATTCCACTTAAAAGCAATTTTATATAAATACGATTGGAGTTTTCTGCAAAGTTTTATATAAAGTTTAACAACAACAAGCACAAAGAAAAATTAAAAGAAAACATTTTTATTAAAATTAAAAATAAAAAAACAATTTTAACGAAAAGAATATAATTTTTATGTATATACTTAAAGGTATAGTACAAAAAAAAGTTTAAATATTTTTTTCTTCAAATAATTTAAAATTATGCTGTTAGTTGAAATTTTTTATAGGTTATTTTTCTGAAATATATCATTGGGTGTTTTCGGCATTCACTCAGAGTTAACTCTAGAGTTAGCAGTGGTGCTCAAATGTAAATTTTGATTTTCAGTTCGTCTGTTGGTTGTGAACGTTGTTGATTGGCAATTTGGCATAGACGATTCATTTTGATTGGCGCAGGGTTTGCAATTGTAACAATATGTGAAACGGGCCTTTTATTCTAGTAATGTAATGTTAAAATAAAATTTTTTGTTTCTAGATTTCATAAAAGTCCCCAAAAATTTATTACTAGATGACCCAGAGTTAACTCTGTTTTCTTGCGAGAGTAAAGAAAAAGGGTCAGTCCTAACCTTTAATGGCCGACAAAATTTGTGAACGGATTGTTTGTTTGAAAAGTGTAAATTGAAACATAATAATTTATTTTTATTAAAAATTATTTTAACTTTTTATTTATAAAAAGCAACTTTAATTAAAATAAATAATCTAGTTTCTTAAACAATTCAGATTAATTAAAGTTAGGGAAATAATGAAAAATTTGAAAATTATAAACTTTAAAAAAATAACACGTTTATGGGTAGCAAAAATATGTTCCATTTTTAAATGAAAAACAAAAAATACGTATAAATTAAAAAAAAGTAAGCAAACAAGGACAACTAACTTCAAACTCAGGGTGATGAAAATAGAAAATCAATTATTTTATTTGGGTAAATAAATTTTCAAAGATAATATCATTGAGCACCACTGTTAACTCTAGAGTTAACTCTGAGTGAATGCCGAAAACACCCATTAAGTACCTATCTTTTTTTTCTAAATTTTCTTTTTTGATACTGAAGAAAATGTCATCTTTTTTTTTATATATATATTTTTCTACCTTTTTCTCGTTTTGTTTCTCTCTTCCTTTTTTTTTCTCTAAATTTTCTTAAGACTGAAGAAAATGTCATCATCATTTTTTTTTGAATGTATTCTTTTTTTTTCTCTCTCTAAATTTTAGCACTCGAGTGAAGAGCTCAGAGTTTGTAGCACCATTTTGACTACACAGACACACAATTAATCAAGATGATTTGACGTTGAACTAAAAGTATTCTCTTCCACTTGTAGTGTTCGTCAGTAAAGATCAGAAAAAGATACCTGAGATGAAACCCCGGAATGTAAATGATGAAGTGCATGCAACTCCTCTATGGACGTTGACGGCATACTGTTACTGTCGCCTAGAAGACCGGAAGTTGAACCCACTCCTGGCGAGTCGACTCCAGTGCCCAATGATGCAGGAGTACCTGGACATATGACATTATTCGAACTGCTGCTATTTCCCTCTTGTCGCATTATATTTCGTCTCCATTTTGCCCTTGCATTTTGAAACCATACCTAAAATTTTATAACAATTTTTATTCAAATTTCCAAAATCTCTCGGCGAATATTGCGACAGATTAAAAAAAAAAAATTTCAATAATGAAAAAAAAAATTTTTTTTGATTTTATTTTATTTAAAAACTGCTGAATCAAAAATAATTTTTATTTGAATTAAATTAACCTCTTAACGCACGACTTCTCTAAAGTCACTCTATACTAATTCGCGATGTCAGTTTTTCGAAATTCAAAATATCAAATCAAATATGGTGGAAGATTTTTTAAAAATTGATCAGATTCGCTTAAAATTCATTATAGTCGGGAGTTTTCAGTGTCGTTAATTACAAATGTAATATTAAATTTGTAATTAGTGACTGCCATAACCCCCGAATTTTTCTGCTGGGAAAAAATTTGAAAAACATTATATGAAAAATGTTTCAATGAAAAATTTTGTGTCAAAGGAAAGAAAGGCTTAAAAACAAAAATCAATAAAATTAAAGATGATTTAAGTTTAAATATGATCACGTTCAAATACATACTGACAATTCATGTCAGAGGTAACTTTTTTGCGGTCAAGCTACTTGTTCCATCATACGTTGAAAGGAAAGGATTTTTAATGTGAAGAATTTTTTTTGTTTGTTTTTTTTTTTTTTTTGTAAATTACCTGAAGGACTCGCTTGGATAATCCAGTTTTTTGTGCCAACTGTTTGAGGTCTTTGGCATCTGGATTTTGATTAATGGCAAAGTAACTTTTCATCGTTCGCAGTTGATGATGTTTAAAACTTGTTCGCATACGTTTGGTTCTTTGATTTTGGTGCACCGGTCCAGGAGATCCAACTGATGCATCATAAGCGGCCAATGACTCCATCGATGATGAGAGCTCATTCGGATGAAGCAATTCTACAAATAATAATAATGAACCATAATAATTATTATTAATAATAATGTGAAATATCAAATTCAGTTATATATATATATATATATATATATATATATGAATAATAATTTTGAAAAAATTGATATTTTGTATAAATTGATTGAAAATGAAAAAGTTGTTGATAATTCAAAAATTTTTCTCTCAATCTATAGTACTTAATTAATTTTTAATTAATCCAAGTAATATTAAAACTAATTTACACCATTAACTGACGTTTTTGTCATAAATATTACATAAATTTGACTAAAAATATAATTAAAAAAAATTTTTTCACAGTTAAATCAATTAAAAATATTTAACAGTTTTAATTTTTTTTTTAAATTAATTATTATATACAGGTATATGAGGTATTTCACGTGTAATGTCCTGAGTTAAAAATTGATTTCTCGAAAATAAGTAAAACTTGGGGAAATTCTTGTCCTACCTGATAGTAAAATATCCCCAAAAAATTTTTTGACTTTTTTGAAATTTTGGGGGATATAGAGGGGGGTCAATTTTATCAGTTTTTCCTGACACCGCCTACTATTTGAATTTTTTATGTCTATAAATGCAATAGAAAAAATTTTGGCAGGTATGATTTTTGAAGGTTTTTTCATGCTCTTTCCATTGGTGAATTTCGTTTTTTTATAATTTTTGAATTTTGACCTTGATTTTCTATAATTAAAAATAAATTTGCTATTTTTTACTAAAATCGGTGCGTTTTTTTTTTTAAATAAATAATTGCAAACGAAAACTGAGGTTTTCTCCGATCTGTAGGTATATAAATTTTCGGAATGCCAATTTTTTTTGTTTTCGGGATATTAAATAGCAAAGATCGAGAAATCAATTTTTTAACTCAGGACATTACCCGTAAAATGCCTGATATATAATAATTAAATTAGAAATAAATAAAATAAAAGAAAAAAAAATTAATTAAAGTGTAGGTGTAAAAAATTTAAAATGTCGGATCTAATATGGTGGACAAGAAAATTAAAAAACATTAAAATTTATGTTACTTAGGGGTTTTCGGTTTGCTAAATTCAAATCTGATGTTACACTGAGAGAAATGGATAGTAAGAATTTGATAGTAAAAAGAAAGATTGTACAAGGTACTATCATTGTGTTACTGACAAGAATCTACTATCAACATTTTACTATCCAAGATGTTACCCAAAGACGTAAAATATGTTAGCTTTTGGATTGTAGTCACTACTATCAAATATTGTAAAAATTAAATGTGAGCGCATGCGCTGATTGTGGTGTATACTTCGCCTATTCAATTGCGGTCCTTGTGTTTTCACGCACGTGTTTATATATAGTGAAAAAAGTTGTGAATAAAAAATGGACGAGTTTGTTAAAAATTTATTAATGTCGTGGAATATGGAATCTTTGATTCCATCTTTTGGAGGTAGGTTTATTATTTTGATTGAATTAGCGAAGACTGAAGTGTGAACGTGTTTATAACCTCAAAACAATTTTGCGTTGTTTAGACGGTGAAATTGATGAAGAATCGTTTTACTTACTGGACAATGATACAATATCACTCATTATACCAAAACCAGAACCTCGCTTAAAATTTTTTAAAAAATTTCAAGGTTACAAAAATCAAGTAAGTTTTTTTTTCGTTTGTATAAATGTACATGTGTTTATTGAAATTTTTTTTTGGAAAAAAAACTTTTTCATATTTTTTCTTACTTTTTTTAAACTTAAAAATTAGTAAAATAATACAAATTCAATTGACTCTGTGAAAAAAATATACCGTTTGATAAATATATTTATGTTTAAGCAAGTCCTTTTTATAGACGGAGTGAAAAAATAGACATACTCTTTTTTATGTAAAAAGTTTAAATTCTTATCGAAATGTCTTATTAAAATAAAATGAAATTATTTAAGTTTACAAAAAAAGCGAGGTTAGGTTCGTGTATATTTGCCACTCGAGAACGTAAAGAGATCGTATAAAATTTTTAACATCAAAGATTGTAAATTGTACAATCAAATTTCTATAATCATCTGATAGTAAATACTACAATCTATATCGCTGTCTGTATATTTAGCACTAAATATGGTTGCCCTTAACATCATTATGTTACCCAGTAGCATAAATTTCTCTCCGTGTAGTTTTTTAAAATGGTGGATCCAATATGGCGGATAGGCAAATTAAAAATCAATAGAATTTACTAATATCAGATTCGTAATCAGCGAACCCAAAAACCCTTTGAGTAACGTGTTTCAAGCAAATCTGACGAATTTAGAAAAATATGTCCGCCATATTGGATCCGCCATTTTTAATTTTTGAAAACGGACTTCAGATTTCTAATCAGCGACCTCGAAAACCTATATGCACACAGTTTTAAAAATTTTAATGGTATACAAGTTTCTATTTACATTTTGGACCCACATTCAAGATTTTTCTCCTCACAGCAAAGGGGTTAAATGATTGTTTTCTTTTTTTACATGATATTATATTGAAAATTAATTGAAGCAGTGCAATTATTTGAATAAAATTTCACAATATTTCTTAACGATTTGTGAACAATAGTAAATATATATATATATATATTGATCGAGATCGTGTTGTATTTAAAGGGCCTTCTCTTGGAAGAAATCGTCACCGATTACAGAATCGAGCTCTTTCTCTCGCTTCTGTGTGTGTCGAGACTTCTTAATCAGATCGAAGGAGAATGTGTCGAATGGTCCAGAGATTGCATTTAAACGAAAAAAAATTCTTTGTCAAGAAATAGGGATCTTGCGGATGAGAAGAAGGTTATTCTCCATCGAAAAGGTGAGTTAATATAGTTTATAAAAATTCTGTAAACTAACGAAATCGTAAAATATTTATCACAAAAAATGTATTCAGATTTTGATGGATTAAGAACGTAGAATTTTATTAGAGATAAATAATAATTTACAAACTTCTAACAGGAGAAAAAATGACTTTTTTTTATATTATTATATTTTCTAAAAACGTTAGTAACAATTTTTCGAATTCAGTTGTTAACAATTGAAATTACGTTACAAATATTTCGATAATCTTTTTTTTTTTTTTTTTTTTTTTTTAATCTTCGGGATAATAAATATTTCTACTCGAAAAGAGAGAATTTCCCTTGAATTTTAGTTGGTGATCGATCAGTGGTACACGCGTCCCATCGAACATTTTGGTGAATCACAACAACCAACCGGATCTCGTAAATATAAGAGTGCGAATGAAAGCCCGTTTTATCCATACAATGACTATATATATATAGTATACACCTTTCACATAATTTATTATTCCTCAGCGTAACTTTATGTCGAGTGTATATTATTTAAAACAAGATAATTCATACACCTGTAAAAGATGAATATTTGATAAGCCAATAGATGCTTTTCATATATTTTAAGCCAATTTAGTTCGTACTTATATCGTTTAATATAAAACAGGTGAAACGGCAACAAAATTATGGTGGAGAAAATTATAGTGGTTTTTTTAAGTAGAAAAAGATCAGCTTAATCAGACATGACAAAAGATAATTTTTTAGTAACTAAAACTAAAGGGGAGTCAACTAAATTTTTTTTAAATTAAAAATTTTGAAAATTATATAGAAAAATCAACGTTGGTCAGACATAGCAAACAGTTTTCTAATGTCTGACCAAAAAGAGGATTTTCTACTTACAGTGAAAGGGCAATTTGGATTTATCTACTTGTAATAAAACCGTCTCTATAATATTATAAAAAAAATGTCTGCTAACAATTTTATGATTAAATATTTTTTGGAAGTAGAAAAGTACGTTTTGGTCGGACATGACATTTTTAATTGTCAAATTGTATTATTTCATTTCGAAAATAAAAGTATTTCCTTTTAGTCTGACTAAAAATACTTTTTTTACTTAGGCATCATTTTGTAAATTAGTGCATTTTTAAGTAGAAAAATAATGTTTTCAATTATTAAACATTTTGTAAATTAGTGGATTTTTTAAGTAGAAAAATATACATTTTTAATCAGACCTGATAAGATAAAAAATTTAGTTTTCTACTAACAATGAATAAATAAAAGTTAGACTAAAATTATGTTTACTAACTTGTTAGTTAAATTTATTCCAAATAAGGAATGCTCAACGTAAAGAATAATTTTTTTAACAAACATTTTTAAAAACAATGACACCAATTATTCTTATAATGAAATTGCATTTATATGTCAATTGCATATATACCTACACTTATAGAAAAATAGAAAAAGTGAAAACATTTTAATCGACGATGAGCGAGAGGAATAAAATAAATATTCTCATCTCTTATATATGTATGAATTTTTGAGCTCAAAACTAATGAAAATTCTTTCTCTATTTAATATCTACTACATCACTTCTCGGTGTTATTTATGCGATATTAAACCATTCGCGGAGATTGCATAAACCTATCAAGTCATCGTTTCTGAATATATATGTATATATATTGAAACGAGAAAAAAAAATCAATTTTTAAAATTTATCTTCGACGTTGATTTCAACGCAAAGCCTCGTTATTGGTGGTCGAGAGGTGGAGAGAAAGAGAGAGAGAGGGGGGTGGTGGGGGAGGGAGACCCATCATCACGAAACACTAAATCAGTCTTTCCACACCTGTGCACAGCAATTTATAACTACGCCGGAAGGAGTGGGCGAGGTCAAATGTTTTACCGACAACCAATGAGCACCAGTCATCAACGTGTCATTAATAATATTCTCTTACTTTCCATTTATAAAATATTCACTTTTCTCATTTCCTTTCTCTCTCTCTGTTTTCCAATTTTTTAAAAATAATTTTTAATGCCAATTGTTCATTTGAAATGAACCAAATTAGAAATAATAGATGATTCTGCCAAAATACATATAATAATTTGATAATAGTCAAATAACCGATTATTTGAATCAAATAAAATTTTTTTTACAGTGCTATGAATCACTGAGAATAACTCAGTTTTAATTTTTTTTTTACGTAAACTTATAATAATTTCTTAAAATCAACATA